CCCATCCCATCCCATCCCATCCCATCCCATCCCATCCCATCCCATCCCACCCTCCTCCCTCTCCTCCCCCACCAGAGGGAGGGTTTCCCCTCACCCTCGGACTCGGAGCCTTCCTCCTCTCCCTCCTCCTCCTCCTCGCTCTCCTCCCCCTCACTCTCCTCCTCCTTCTCCACCTTCTGCCGGACGCTGGTGAACACGGACTGCAGCACGATGGAGTCCTCGTAGATCTGGGGGGAATTCCGGGCCATCCCGGGTCATCCCCGGCCATTCCAGGCCCTTCCCATCCCATCCCAGCCCCATTCCCAGCCCCATTCCCAGTCCCATTCCCGGTTTCCCGCACCAGGGAGCCCTCCAGGTTGAAGGTCTGGGCGTTCTGGCACAGCAGCATCACGTCCTTCTCCAGGTCGTTCAGGCTCCGGTACTTGTGGTTCCGGATCCGCTCCTGGGGGGGTGCAGGGTGAGGGGGGGATTCCAGGGGGATTCCAGGGGGGATTCCAGGGGGGGATCCCGTACCTTGATCTTCTTGAAGTCCACGGGCTTGCGGATGAGCTCGTAGTACTCGGGGAGCTCCTTGCGGGACGGCAGTTGGATGAAAACCTCGCTGAGCTGCCGCCCGCTGCTGCTGCGGGGGGAGGGGGCCTTCATCATCATTGTCATCATCATCACCATCATCATCATCATTGTCATCGTCATTGTTATCACCATCATCATCACCTTCATCACCACCTTTATCACCAACCATCCCATCCCATCCCACCCCACCATCCCCCGCTGCTGCTGCGGGGGGAGGGGGCCTTCATCATCACCATCATCATCATCATCATCGTCATTGTTATCACCATCATCATCACCTTCATCACCACCTTCATCACCAACCATCCCATCCCATCCCATCCCATCCCACCCCACCATCCCCCGCTGCTGCTGCTGGGGGAGGGGGCCTTCATCATCACCATCATCATCATCATTGTCATCATCATCATCATCATGATCACCACCTGGGATCTCTGGGAATCCCTGAGATCTCTCGGAATATCCAGGAGCACCGAGGATCTCCGGGAACCCCCGGGATCCTCACCTGTCCTTGATGAACTCTGGGAATCCCCAGGATCTCTGGGAATATCCGGGAACCCCTGGGATTTCTGTGAATCCCCAGGATCTCTGGGAACATCCAGGAATCCCCGGGAATCCCCGGGATCCTCGCCTGTCCTTGATGAACTCTGGGAATCCCCAGGATCTCTGGGAACCCCCAGGATCTCTGGGAATCCCCGGGAATCCCCGGGATCCTCACCTGTCCTTGTACTTGATGACGGCGTCCACGATCTTCCTCATCTTGCGGGTGAGGGGGGGCGGGTTGGGGGACAGCTTCTCGGCCGGGGGTCTCCCCCTTTTCTTCTGCTTCCGACTCTCCTCGTCCTTGTCCCGGCTCCGGGACCCGGGGGGGGGCCCGGGGGGGCCCTCGGGCTCCCGTTTGCGCTTGCGGGAGGATTTCTTCTGCCTCACCTCCTCCTCGATCTCCTCCAGCGTCCCCTCCTCGATGGCCTGGGGGGACACGGGGGGGGTTAATGGGACGGGGGGGCCCGTGGGGAAGGGGGAAATGGGATGGTGGGGGGATCCTGGGGGATCCTGGGGGTTCCCAGAGGGATCCGGGGGGTTCCCAAAGGGATCCTGGGGGTTCCCAGAGGGATCCTGGGGGATCCCAGAGGGATTTTGGGCACTGCCAGAGGGATCCTGGGGGTTCCCAGGGGAATTTGGGGGGCAGGGGCACCTTGAGCCGCTGCTTCTCGGTGAAGGAGTCGCTGTAATGGGGATCTCAGAGGGATTTTGGGGGGTCCCAGGGGGATTTTGGGGGGTCCCAGCAGGATTTTGGGGTCGGGGGTACCTTCAACCACTGCTTTTCCGTGAGGGAGTTGCTGTGATGGGGGTCCCAGGGGGATTTTGGGGGGTCCCAGGGGGATTTTGGGGTCGGGGGTACCTTCAGCCACTGCTTTTCCGTGAGGGAGTCGCTGTAATCGACCTCCTTGCGGTGGCGGGAGCCGCGGCCGAACATCTTCTCCTCCTCCTCCTCGCAGGTGAGCCGCTCCACCTCGGCGTCATCCTTGAGGATCCACGAGGGCAGCTCGTCCTCCTCCATCAGCCGCGGCTTCCGCTTGGGATTGCGGGCCTCCTCCCGCCGCCGGTCCAGATCCATGCGCTGGGAACGGGGGGAAAATCAGGGATGGGATCCCAGGGATGGGATCGGCAATGAGATCAGGAATGGGATCCCAGGGAATTGGGGTTCGGGGCCTCTTCCCGCTGCCAGTCGTCATAGTCCTGATTTTAGCAAGAAATTTTGTCTTTCCTTTCCCCTTCCCCCTCCTGCGTGTGTGTGTTAATGAGCCATCAGATAAACAAAGGAGTTGGCCTGAGCCCTAAATGACCAGACATTAATCCCCTAGCAACCAAGGGGGAGGAACTGGGGAAAAGGCCAGAGTGTGTGCATGGAAAGAGGTGGGGAGGAATTGGGAAAAGGCCAGGGTGTGTGTATGGAAAGGGGTGGGGTTTGGGCTCAGCTCTGGGGCCGGAGGGGAGGCTGCAGCAAGGAGGAGACACTGCCTGGTTGCTTCTTTGTCTTTTGCCTGTCGGAGGAGAGTTTTTTTTTGCTGCTGTTCTCTGCGTAGCTGTTGCTGGCTGCAGGCCGGGCTCACCACGAGATCCTCACCAACCGAAAATCGTGAGTTTTCTTCCATTGGGAGAGCTTTCTGTTTCCCTTCCCCTTCCCCCCTCCTCCCTCACCACCCGGGACAACCAGGGATCCCACAGCGCCGCCCGGTGATGGGGGCTGGACATTGCAAGTTCTGCATCTCCAGTGACCCGACGGCGCCCCCTGCTGACTGTGGCTGGAACTGCACCAAAGGGCGCTAAAAATTGAACTATTTGATTTTCTTTTTTGCCGGTTTTATCGGTTTTGTTCTTGAAGGGGATTATTGGTGGGTACAGGGGTAGTGCTTGGCTGTTTTACTTGGTTTTCTTTCGTGTTCCTGTTAATACACACATACCTTTTAATAAAGGGCTGTTATTTTTTTTTTCCCTTTTCCATAATTTGTTTTCCTTCAATCGGAGCCTCTTAATTTCGAATTTATAATTGCTAGAAAAGGAAGTTTGGGTCTTTTTCTCCTAATCCATCCTCAGCAAAAGACCTTTGTCTCATTTAAACTGGGACACCAGTCCAGATCCATCTGCTGGGAATGGGATCGGGAATGGGATCAGGAGTGGGGTGGATTCAGGAGCAGAAGGAACCCCGCTGGGAGCTGCAGGAGTTTGGGGAACAGGGGGGAATTCCGGGAGCTCTGCCAAGGCCTGGGAATAGGGGGGGGAATTCGGGAATTGGGGGTTCCAGGAGCCCCCGGGGTCTCCTCCAGGGGCTCCCCCTCCCCCCAGGTCCCATTCCGGGGAATTCCGGGCACAGACATTCCCTGTGGGAACAGGGAGAGACCCCCTGGCCCTTCTCCCTCCCTCCCTCCTCACAGACCCTTGAATGCCCCTCCAGTTCTTCCTCACCCTCTTCTTCCCCCCAGAACCCCCAACCCTTCCCTCCTCCCCAGGAAATCTTCCTCCTCCTCCTCCTCCTCATCTCCTCCTCCGCTCTTCCTCCCCCTCCTCTTCCCGCTCCTGCTCTTTATATCCTCCTCTTTTTCTTCCTCCTATTCCTTTTCTTCCTTCTCCTGCCCTTCCTCCTGTTGCTCTTTATCCTCCTCCTTTTTCTTCCTCCTCTTCCTTTTTCTGCTTCTCCTCCTCCTCCCCATCCTCTTCCTCCTCCTCTTCTTCCTCCTGCCCTTCCTCCTCTTTTTCCTTCTCTCTTCCTTCCTCCCTCTTTTCCTCCTCCCCATCCTCTTCCTCCTCCTGCTCTTTATCCTCTTTTTCTTCCTTTTCCTCCTTCTCCTCCTGCCCTTCCTCCTCCTCCTCCTGCTCTTCATCTTCCTCCTCTTTATCCTCCTCCTTTTCTTCGTCCTCTTCCTTTTTCTCCTCCTCCTCCTCCTTTTCTTCCTCCCTCCCTCCCTCCCTCTCCCCCTCACCATGAACAGGTCGAACTCCTCCTCGTGCCGGGCGATCATTTGGTTCACGGTCTCGTCGTCGGGC